TTGTCACCGTCAGAGGCTTGAGTGATGCAAGAGGAAGGGGAGCCATGTGATCCTGTCTCCTCACATGGCCCCAGAAACCTCACTTCTTATTTATTAGGTTGCGGGAACTTGATGATTTTCCTGTGCTTCCTCTTTGTTAAGATCTGTATAAAGACAATGAAGTAATTGGCTTGTGGTTGCCTTTAACTAAAATCATGGTGGAGACTGATTTAGATACAGTGAAGCACATCTCGTGAGACCACTTTGTTCAATGTTGGTTTCTAGGAAGGAAGCTGTGTCAGCTGCTAAGCCACCCAGCAAGCACATCTCTTGATGACTATGGAGTAGCACACTTTCGAGTTGCAGAAGAGCCATGTGAGGGGTGGATCCCACCATCTTCACCTCACCCTGGGTACACACAGAACCCAGTGTGAATTTGGGCCATGTGGGGTGTTAGTACATGGAAGGGAAGTATCACTCAGAGGGTGCTGTTTAAAAGACTTATCCTTGACAGAGATTTGTGAACAGTCAGATACATGAACTTGAGAACTGCACACCTACCCAGAAATTTCTGCAAAAGCTCTCTGCTGTTGGAAAGTCCTGTCATTGGAAAGTGTTTCTTTTGTAAAAATCATCTGTGAAATAAAGTCAAACTGTCTTTGTTCAACCAGGCAATCTGCACAGTTTTTAAAGCCAGATTCAGAGGAAGACATGAAACAAGGCTTCCTCAGTCAGGCCAAACCCTACTCTCGGTGCTGTGCCTCAGTGGACTCCCTGGACAGAGCAGCTGTAGGTGGTGGTGCGGCCTCTGTGCCTTCCTGGAGTGTGAGGCTTTCCTGGCTTAAGCAGCAAGAACGTCAGCAAGGAGAACAAGATAGAAATGGACTCAAGAATAGAGCAAAACCCTTTGATGACATCTTTGCACCTTTCATGGAAAGTAAGATGTCCTCTGATTCACCTCGGAAGTCTTCATTTCTCAAGGTCAGTCTTCTGCTTGTCCTTAGACTGGCTCTGATAGTTGCCTGCTGTGGTTATGTGATCTCAACATCAGGAGCACCTGGAATGTGTTCAGGGTGTGCTGAAACCCAGGACAGCCAGGGTGGGTGGAGGTGTTTAGAATGCATCAGGCATTGAACACTGAAAACCCGAACCCTTCAGCAGTGAGTCTGGTATTTAGCTAGGCTTAGGACCAATGGCATGATCACAAAGGCCACAGGAGAAGACTTCTGGACTGGATATGAGTTGGTCCAAGTCACGTGAGCATGGAAAATGAGATGAGACAACAGGTTGAACTTGGTCTCTTGACTGCCTAGCTCTTTTGTGTGACAGAATCTAGGTCCCAAGCTACACAAAGCTTATTTATTTGTTACTCCAGAAGACTGGAAATATGGAGTAGTTTTTACTTAGATGTATCTGATGTAGCTCGTGTTATGGTCTATGTGGGCCTTTCTAGGTCAGAAGAGAAAGTCCTGAAAATTACCTAAGATGGAGATGCTAGTGAACTCACAATAATTTATTGAAGAATTTATCAGCATATCTATATCTATATCTATATCTATCTATATCTATATCTATATCTATATCTGTATCTATATCTATATCTATATCTATATCTATATCTATATATACTACTAAAGACCTGCAGGAACATAGGAGATTTTCTTAAAATGATACCAAAAGAGCAAAGTGAAGAAAACCTAGCAGACCATGAATGCTCCTGCTCAGATCAGAGCTGGTGTTTAAACCAATCACTAAGGTAACATTTTTATAGAGTCTGGAGCTCAAGGATGGTTTGTGGTAGCTTTGCAGAGATACAGTATTTGGCCGACCAGGAGTTTTATGTAAGGCTCATTCCTTATACAACCTGGAGCTATAAGAAAGGGCTAAAGGTGCTGCATTCTCTAGAATATGTTAAACAGTACTTCCAGCTTACTTAGGCATTCTGTCATCTGTCACAGGCTCGCCTCAGATGCATCGTAGAGGAAAGGTGCCAGGGAGCTGCTCTTGCTATATTGAGAGCCAGTGAATCTGGGTTCATCACCCTCTGAGGAGCTCAGAGATGCCTTAATGCAATGGAAGTCACTTATTGGCAGCTGTGCACACTTCAGGCAGGAATCCTGTGGGCTTTGAGGATCATGTTACCTCTTCTTCACCTGGACCCAGCTTGTGAAGATGCTCCATCTAGTGTGCATGTCTAGTGTCTGCAGATTGTACATGTGTGTGCAGAACACATGTCCTTAAAGGTGGGTTCTATCAAATTCCACCAAAACCTCGTATCAACCCTGAAACAAACACCAGACATTCCCACTCTTGGAGGGAACAAGATGATAGGTTAAGCAGGACATGAGAGTGAAGGAATACTGCCTCTCATTTGGGACTAGCAGATGATACGGTGGTACAGCAGGGCTTAGCAGTGGAAAGTGAATGCCATGGTAAGCTATATGGTGTAATCAAAGAGTGAGAGAGAAGGATTACATAAGCTATTTTGACACAGCAATCCTTGACCACGATTAGCAAGCATGGCTTCAGTCTGAGATCAGACAGATGTCTTCGTAGAAGTACTTTTTGTATAAGGCTGTGATGACCTCTGTGCAAGGCTGTAGTGGGGCTGAGTCTTTTGTGATAGTTATTACCAGGCAGTCAGGTATAAGAACGCTTCCTTCATCATCTCCTGCTTAATCACTGCTTTTGCCGTTGTTGTTGCTGTTAGGGTTGGCACGAGACACTCCATGCTGATTCTGACAGCTTTAACAATTCTTTCATTCATCACTGACGATGACACGGGCTGTGCAGCAGATAGAAGAGCAGGGTCCCTTCTGAGATGAGGAAGTGAATCCCCCAGGTGAACCACAGGTGGGCAGGTAGATGCCTTGTTTTCTACACAGCTGTTATACCTGGCTTTGGAGGGGTACCCTGGCAGCCAATCAGGGCTGCAGGACAGGAGGGGTGTGGGTGACCTGCATCCCCAGGGCAGTGCCAACAGGGAGGCCTGCATGCATCCCAGTCCTGTCCATGAAGGACACCTCTGGCCCTGCTCACACCTATGGGGTGACAGTGGTGCTGTGGCTGAGCCAGCTGGTCACCTTCCCCAGGGTCCAGGCATTCACCCTGGCAGGCAGCACAGGATGCTGTCTGGGATTTGTAGAGCAGTGGAGACTCTGACAAGGTTAAGGGGAGCAGGAAGGAGCCCAAAGGGGCTCCTGAGGGTGGGGACGGCGGTAGGGGTTGGGGCGTGACTTGAGCTCTGTATTGCTGGCTGGTGAAGATGGCAGAGACCCTGACCCAGCCCAGCCTGGCCAGAAGGTGGACGGTCCAGGTGGGGTTGAAGTGCTATTGCTTTTGCAGGATCTGGGAGGATGGACAGTGGTGATGATGTGAAAACCTGCTTTTTGGTATGGGGGTCTCCAGTGGCTATGGGAGCGAGTCCCGGAGGCAAATGTAGCTGGAGATTAGGCTGCTTCATTTCATAGTGCTTTGACCTTGGCCACTTCCCTTAACATTCCTGGGCCACAGTGTCCCATCCTTCAAAGAAAGAGCTAGCAAGACTGCACTTCAACATGCAACTGTATCCTAAGGTGTGGACTGAGTGGAATATGAAGAAGCCTAAATCAACACTGGACATTATTTTCATTGATTGTCCTCTTATTATTACACCTCTGGGCTGCTAAGAAAGTTACATGCTGACTGGGATGGGGATTCCATTCTCACTTCTCCCTGCCCTGTGCTTGCTCACTTCCCCAGCACCACCCACACAGCTGGGCTCAAGCACCCACTGGCACAGGACCCAGTGGGCCTCCCTGCAGTCTGGGCCGGGGGAAGGTATGTGGAACTGTGCCTCAGCTTTTTAATTGTGTACGATATTTTGCACAGTGTAGTAGAACCATCTAGGCTATTAGCATATTAGCATATTCTAGGCTATTAGCATATATGATAATGAGTTAGCATTATCAAAGCATTCACTGCCATCTTAATAGCCAAAGGCTTTGTGTAGGATCCTTTAGTCAAGGACTCCCAGTGCAGAAGGGCCCTGAGGTGACTCAGCCTCCTTCCACTTTCCCGAAGAGGAAAAGGATGTCCCTGGAACTTGAAGTATCTTTTCCTGAATGGCAGAGTCACAGGGACTGCAGTGGGGTGGTCACACTCCCTCTGCACCACAGCAACTCCCTGGAGGCAGATTCTATGGCATCCTGAAGAGGCCCACGGAGGCTGTTAGGGACATTACTTCTACTGGAGAGATGTTCCCCCAGGAAGCAGAAACACTCCAAATGCTCTGTTTTCCCAGTAGAGAAGACCAAGTTGAATGACTCAGGAAAAAGATGAAGATAAATATAGAACAGAAATATCTTGTTCTTTTTCAAGCTCTTCCTCGTTATAGGATATAACAGCAAAGGTGTGTTCTCCAGGTGGTTTGATTCTCAGTAGCTGAGCACACCCTTTATATGATGAGACCAGAACATGTGTAACCTTTATATGAGACACTTGGACACATGTGGGGTATTTTGCAGGGTCCAGTGTTCCCTTCAGGTTGTCTTACATACTCAATGGGATATTTCCTGCCCAGGACATGAACTGAAAGATGACAGAAATGTTGGATGCACAGTTTGAATACACCTGAGGGATTGGAGTAGAGTTACACATTTAAGTAGGAGTTCCAAAAATCCCTTCACTCCCTGGCAAAGACACATGGACTGTATATTCCATGTTGCAGGTATATTGCTCCTCAGTGGTCACAGGGAGAGGATGGGCGCACACAGGGTCAGATTCAGCTCTTCTCTTTTACCTTGACTGTTGAATATAAATAAAGCCACAGCCCTGCTGTCCCTTGTGTTCATTCCTTTTTGTATAAGACACATCCGAGCGCCTCTTTTGTGTCTGTGCCTGACTCTTTATTCTGTGTTGTTTTGGTTATTGTTTCTGGGGCTGTGGATTGGTTCCAGTCCCATCCTCAGGTACAGTCTGCAGCAATTTGGGCCAAGAATATCATGAGGGTCAGTGATCATAGTATCTTCTCTCTCATTCAGAAACGTGGCCTTTGAAGTTGCTTGGCTCCTCTCCTGTGAAAAGGAGGCTAGAATTAAGTAGCAGTGCTACACAGAAACCTTTGGATATGGCCAGCAGAGTTCTGGATGCTTTGGATAATCACAATTTGAGTATCATTGAAGAACATGTAATGAAACTCAGCCCTTTTAATTAGAGGTAACAACAAGAGCTCAAATAAGGCAATGCAAGTACCACCCAACCTAAGCAGTGGCAGAGCTGGGGCCAGTGGTCCACTGACTCCATGGTCAGGCTCCTTGTGGCACAGACACTGCCCCTGAGGCCAGCTGGACTCATGGACTTGGCTCACGCAACTGGTCACAGGCATTTCTGAAACAGCAAGATATTTGCGTTTACCTTCCTATGGGAGCAAGAGTGCAGAGTCAACATTTGCACTTACAGTGCTTGTGTCAGAGCACACACTCATCCTTCCACTAACGCAGTTAACTGCTGATGGACATGTATTATCTAAATGCAAGACAATGGGCAGAACCTGAGCTCTTTCATGTCTGAGGATTTCATTTTGGGAACCAACTGCTCTGACCTCCCAAGGAGTTTCCAAGTCAAAGGTATGCCAGGCCTGAAGACAGAAAATTAAGGCAGCCATCTCTGCATGATTCACATACATGTATCACAAAGTTAGTACGTACAAGACCCGTTTCTTGGCATTCTGGGGCATGGGATAGTATTGGGGCTGTACTGCATCACTCTGCTTACTTACTTAATCTTTGGTCACAGAGCAGCAAACCAGCCAGGGGTCATTTTAATTCTGAAATTTAGAAGAAGGAAATGTGACTCCAATTAAGTGGTTTGTTCATGATCTTTAGAAAGTAAAAGTAATTGAAGCAATGAAATCACTGACTGCACTCTGTGGCTGCGTGGTTCATTTTGATTCAGTTCTGCTGCAGCCCAGCCCATCTGGCTCTGTGGTGTACACCTTCAAGTCCTGGTTACTTCTATTTTGCTTTAACCCCTGGGGTGTTCATTGGTAAAGAATCTACTTGGGATCCCAAGTCCTTCCCAAGTCTTACCTTTCAACATTTCACTGAGGATTCTGTGGTGATAAAGAATCACTTTATAAAATTTTTTAATAGCTTTTGTTAAAAAAAATCAAATTTAACAAGTGATTGGTTAAGGTTTTGTTCTTAGGCAGATAAGTTTTCCAAGAAATAAGATCTTCATCCCTCTACATCCCCAGCACAGAAAAACAATGATAACAACAAAAGCAAAGCACAGCAAAACAAAAAAGATATGTTATCTAATGGGGCATTGTTTTCCTTATCCAGTCATTTGGGCTGACTTTTTCTAGTTGGGAAGTATCTGAGTTTACATACACTTTCACACACACACATCTAATGATGCTTCAATGTTGCAAAGCTTTTCAGTTGCTCAAAAATTTTAAGACATACCATCCAAAAGAAGGTTGGTTCTACAATTGAGGAAGACTTGAAGGCATGGAACAGGAGTCTGGAAGGCCCTGAGGGAATTATTCTGAAGAGTTCTCAGAGGCTGGTAAACAGAGTTTCATGCCTCCTGCAGAGAATGCTGAGCTACAAGGCAGAACGTCCGGCTCTGTGTATCAGCGGGAACCTCACCTGCCTACAGACACCTCTCTTGTTGCCTGTGCATGCTTGAAGCACTCTGTATCCTTGTCTGTCTCTCTGGTATCCTTTTCTTCTTTTTCCTCTTGGAAATATATTTACTTAATATATTTTTTAATTAACAGTTTGAAATTGTGCATATTTACAAGCTAAAGTTTGACCTATAAATAAATATATGATGTGAAATGATCAGATTAGGGTATTCTTAGTTACTTCTCTCTCATTGCTTCTCTCTCTCATTAGTTACTTCTCTCTCATTACTTCTCTCTCATTGACAAATACCTGATACTCAAAATGAAGGAAGAAAGGTTTATTTAGCTCCAAGTTTGTGGAAGTTTCAGTCCATAACCAGCTGTCTCCAAAGCAGGGTGGCATGGCAGAGGGCAACAGTTCTTGGCAGTGGGAGACAGCACAAGCAAAAAGAGCAAAAATGAAAGGAGAGAAAGCCTCTTTTCCTCCCTTGTATTTTAAGCAGGATATCTACCCTATGGTAAGTAGCACTCACACAGTCTTCCTGCTCTTCTCCTACATAGGCTGAGCACATTTACAAAGTGAGGACCCTAGCCCCTTGCTGAGCCATTTAGTTAAACTTCTAAACTTCTCAAGTAGATATAAGGAATCAGCCATCACAACATCCTAGGGTGTAAACAGCCCCCAGGGCATGCCCTCTACACCCTAAATTGTAGAATTGCAGAGTCACTTATTCAAGCTTCTAAATTTCTGAAGATGACACGATGTATCAACTATTACAGGGTAGCTGGCATAGATTTCACCTCAGACACTTATTGTTTCTTTATATTTGGAATATTCAAAAGTCTATGTGCTGTTTTGAAATATTAAATGAATTAGAAACATTAATGTTATCCCTCCCATCCAAATGCATTTAAATACCCATTAACCACCCTCCCTCCACATCCCTACACCAGTGTTTACTTTGGTGTCATAAAGTAATTTCGACATTTCCACAGTCATCAAGAAACACAGCCAATGGAGGAAAGCACAATTTCCGGGAGTAATAGTTGAGATAAAGCTACCTCACAGAATATCAGCGTTGTTTATAAGACTGAGTAAATTTTAACTAGATGGTTGTATTTAACCATTATAGCTATGGTACACAAACCTGAAAATTTTTAAAACACATTACCCACAACATTACAATATGTTCTACAATTTCCATCTTGTTGCTATTCTATGATAAGAAACTCCAAAGAGGAATGTTATCCTAGCATATTACCAGTAAATCTGTTTTCCAGTTAGCCTAAATTTGTTAACAAAATTTTGCATATACTCCACTGCATAATCTGATATAAAATTCTGACATGGTTTCTTGGTATTTGCAACGTAACACTACTAGTCAAGAAAATAAACCCATCTGTGCAAGGAGGGAGTATTTCATTTTAAAGATTCAGGGACTGAAATTCAAATGCTTAAAAGACTTCAGCCAGGTCACAGAGCTAGTCAGCTCTGGAGCTGGGCTTTTTTATTTACATCTGAGCTACTTCATTTTCAGAATTCTTCCCCAATTATAGGTGACTTTGCAATACTAACCAGCTGCTTTGAGAGTCTGGGGGCAAAGCTATTCTACAGGGTACAAGATTTGCAATTTGATAGGAAGTGTTTTGGTTTTGGCTCCTTCTGACAGCTGAGGGATCTTGGTAGAATTTATTTACTCTCTCTGGAGACTCTTTTCTCATTTATCAAACTGAAGTAGTAACTGAGGCATGGACTCCTGGACACCATGTGATGTGTGTGAAACACAGGACGTACAGTGTGTGGTTAGCCTGGGCTCCATCCACTAGCGAGGCCGACATGATCACTTGCTGAATCGCAGGTTGTGCTTTTGGTCATGGACAACGGTGGGAGCATTAAGTGTAATGGGCATGAACCTAGCTGGGGACACGAGATGAATAGTGAAGAAGAAAAAAGACTTTCTGAGTTCACCCACCATGACGGGGCTAGTGTCCTGTGGGAAAGAAACTGACAGAGATAGCACACTAGATCCACTGGACAGAAGCCTGGGGTTTAAAGTACTGAGCAGCCATCTCTCCTTTATCAGCAGTTTAAAAATCGTTTTGTATTATTTTTAAATGTTGAAGGAAGAATTAAAATGTTCTCCCCTCCCAACACAGCTGTCACATTTTAGAGTAAGAAAAAAAATTAAACGTGATTTTTTTAGGTTATATTAATAATTGCTACTTAAGAGAGATCCTGAAATTAAGTAATTTGATTTCTAAGTGTTAAAATCTTTCATGCGTAACTGCAAAAGTAAGTGATTTCTTGGAGGTGTCACATCAGTGTCCAAATAAGGTAAAATAATGTGTTCATGTGTGACTTCTGCATGCCCTGCCCTTCCAGGGAGGAGTCAAAGAGGAGGCTGAAGACTAAAATGAAAGAATAGGATCTTTGTTTAATTAACTGCTCCAAGTCATCTGGCCAGACCTCTAGATTTTGTCCAAACTGCTGGCTGGTATGCACACATGGCTATGAAGCTAGTGATGCGGCTAGTTTAGATGGAGATGTGTTTATGGTGTAACACACATGCTGAATTTGAAGCATTTGAAAAGTTTAAATTGTACAATAGGTATTTCTAAAATTGGCTATATGTGGAAATAAGATTTTAGAAAAATAGGGTTAAGTAAAATATGTTGGCATTACTTTCATCTGATTACAACTTTTTTATTGTTAGTAAAAAAGTAGTTTATATGTAGGACTTGCATTTTACTAGTATTGGATGAGACATACAATCAAATACTCTTGATAGAAGTTTACTATACAGAGGCTAGAAGACCATGTTAGAAGCCACTAAAACAATCTGAAAAAACAATGAGAAACTTCCATGCCAAGCCTGATCTGCTCAGCACACGGCACCTGTACAGCAGAGGGAAGAAAGAGAAAGACAAGATACAAATTTTGAGGCTTGAGAGTTCTTCTAGAATGGCAATGAGATCTTTGGGTTGGTTCCTAAAACACCAGTAACTGGTAAAAACTGACACAAACTTTTAAAGTCTCCAGAAAGGGCAAACAGGAAATAAACTATTTATTGAAGAATAACTAGTAGTTTCTGCTGTGCTCGGCCAGCTCCAGGGATTTGGGCCTACCTGCCTGAGCCCTCACTATGGAGACTGGGTGGCCTGGGGTGAGTGTCCCTGTACCATCTCAAGCCCCGAAGGGAGTTTAAGATCCTTGCTTTCACTGGCCAGGGAACTTTGTGGCTTCATGACACACTGGACCTGCGCAGGGCTTGGGCCTGCCTGCCCCACCCCCAGTGACCCTCTCTCAATCCAGGGAACTGGGCGGCCAGAGTCCCAGAAGCCAAGAGCATAGAAAAGGATTTCCAACAGGCCCAGGGGAAGCCTTGGAATAATACTTAAAACATGGAAATATAGGAAAATGACAAAATGAAAGACCAAAACACAATCTCAAGCCTCCAGCCCATCCCAAGAAACCTTAGGAGCTATGTACATAGAAGAAAACATATGCCATACACCTGAAATACCTGAAATAATAGCAACTGAAATAAAGAAGGAACTATAGGAAGCTTTAAAGGAATTCAAACTAGAAATAGTCTCCCAGGTAAAAGAAGAAATGATAAAAGAAATGAAAGAGATGCTGAACATATCTAAAGAAGACACAGTTAAAAATTAGAGGAACTAAACAAAAAGATAGAATCCCTGGATGAACAATATAAGAAACAAACAGAATACATGAAGCAGATGCAAAGAGATATACAGGAAATCAAAAACTCCACTGAAAGTTGTAAAAACTGCCTCAGTGAAAGTGAAGATAGAATTTCAGACCTCGAAGACAAGATTGCAGGTAGTGAACAGGAAAGAAAAGCTCTTTTAAAAATAACAAGGAATCAGGAAATAGCAATTCAGCAGCAGCAAGATGATGCAAAGAAAAACAACATAAGATTGATAGGGATAAATGAAAAAGGGGACAATACAAAGGATGTCAAGAGGATGTTTAGAGAAGTAATAGCTGAACATTTCTCAAACATGAGAATGGAAAATGACATCAGGATCAGTGAAGCATAGAGAATTCCAAATAGCCCTAACCAAAATAAAACTACACCCAGACATATATTAATCACCATCCCAGAAATCCAACATAAGAATAGAATATTAAAAGCTGTCAGAGAGAAAAGACAGATCACCTATAAAGGGAAGCCTATCAGAATCACAGCAGACTTCTCAGCACAAACAACAAAGTCAAGAAGAGCACGGAGTGAAGTATTTTAGATCCTAAAGGAAAATAATTTCCAACCTAGACTGATGTACCCTGAAAAACTGTCCTTCAAAATTGATGGAGAAATAAGATACTCCCATGACAAAAAACAGCTGAAGAACTTCAAGCCAACCCTGCAAAGAATACTGAAAGACAGTTTAGATACAATTAGGAAAAAACCACTAAGGAAAGCAGACAATTAAACAGAACAAAAAGATAAAGATGCAACAGCAGAAAGATAACATATTAACAATAAACCAATATATAACAGCTATTCTGTTTGCAGACAATGTGAACTTCAAACCAAGAATGATCAGAAGAGATAAAGAAGGTCATTACATACTGGTTAGGGGAAAACTTAAAGAGGAAGAGTTAACAATCTTAAATATACATGCACCAAACTCCAGAGCACCCAGTTATGTAGTGCATGTATTAATAGAAATGAAAAACCAAATTAGTTATAACACAATTATAACAGGAGACCTTAACACACCATTAACACCAAGGGACAGATGAACCACACAGAAAATCAGCAAAGAAATAACAGAACTAAATCACACCTGTGAACAAATGGACTTGATAGACATATACAGAATGTTCCATCCAACAACATTAGAATACACATTCTTCTCAGCAGTAATGGGACAGTCTCTAAAACAGACCATATACTAGCGCACAGAACATATTTAAATAAATGCAAAAGAGTTGAAATTATCCCATGCATGTTATTGGATCATAGCGCCATGAAACCAGAAATTAATGATAAGATACTGCAAAAATCCCACAAACACATGGAAACTGAATAACACACTGTTGAGTAATCAGGGGTCACAGGGAAAATTAAAGAAGAAATTAAACAATACCTACAAGCAAATGAAAATACAAATACAACTTACCAGAATCTGTGGGATGCAATGAAAGCTGTCCTTAGAGGAAAATTGATTGCACTGAGTTCTCACAT